TAATATTTAATATAATTAAATATTAATATACTCTTATAATTCTAATATTATTATCTATTATAGTGTATGTAACTATATAATGTATTAATTTTAATATATTTATTATATAATATATTATATAATAATAACTTTATTATACTATATTACACTTTATATATTATATTAATTATATTGATATATAAAATATTAGTGTTATATATAACATAAGGGTAATTTTATCAACATGAAAATATTCATGTTCTATTCTATAATATTCTTAAAAATTACAACCAAATAAATAAATCAACTTACTTTTTCGTTCTATTATTATTATCATTCTAATTTCCATTATTATTACCATTCTCCATTGCAAAGAGGTTTTTGCGTGAAAGGTTGTAGGCTCGATCCTACTTTATTAATCTTTATTTCTTATTTATAGAATGAAAAGTTGCTATGAGATATGCTAAATGAAAAAATGGTTTCTACTTTTGTGATTTAGTTTAATTTATTTGTTACATATCAGTATGAATTTGTAAATTTATTAATGATATATTTTCAGAGTGGAGCCTTTCAATCTCACGTCGTTCACTGAATGGATCCTGACGGAAGATGCCCCGGCATTACCAGAAACTCTTAAATTGTACAAAAGCTTAATATCTTTGGGGTTTAAGATTGTGTTCCTGTCAGGGAGATACGAAAAAACACGATCCGCAACTGAGAGGAATTTAATATATGTTGGATACAAGGCATGGGAAAAAGTTTTACTCAGGAAGTAAGCTTCTAATTAACAAAATATCAAGTTGAATTGCATGGTAGCTAGTACACTCTTGATATATATGGAATTAGTGAAATATATATATATATATATATATATTTATATATATATATATATAACAATACATAAAAGAGAAAGTTTTTTTAAGGGATTGTCACATAGCAGTCTCTCTCTTTTTTATTTTATTTTATTTATCTTTATTCTTTTGTGAATGTTTTTACATTTAAATTTTGTTAGTGTGTTTTTTTAAAATATATTATTTTTTATTTTACTCTTATGAGAGAATTTCTATAGATGTGCTCCTATTTTATTTTTGGTTGGTTACAAAAATTTTCTTCAAATATAACCCTATTTAATTTCTTTTATCAATTGTTATCTTTACAACATTCCTTTTTATCTAACAATACATAAAAGAGTCAAAGTTCTTTTTTATGGGGTTGCAACGTGGCAGCCCCTATACTTTTTTTTCCTCTTGTTTATCTTTTTTATCTTTATTCTTTTGTGAATTTTTTTACAGTTTAATTATTTGTGTGTTTTTTAAAAATATATTGTTCTTCACTTTACTCATATGAGGGTAATTTTTACACATGCAATCCTATTTTATTTTTGATTGGTTAGAATAATTTATTTTAAATATATCCCTACTTAATTTTTTTTTTTGTTAATTGTTATCTTTACACACATTCCTTTTTAAAATAAATTCAAAAATTATTAAATAGTTGTATAAATAAATTTCTCAATAAACAATAAACATTTCACACGTTCTAAAATTAGTATATATAAATAAGTGCTATTAGTATTACACTTTGTTACGGGATTTGAACTATACTACTATGGTTGCTGCAGGGATTCAGACAAGTCAGCATCGTCACTTGAGTACAAATCAGCTCAGAGGAAGCAATTGGTGAAGGATGGATATAGCATTGTTGGGAACATAGGGGATCAATGGAGTGATCTTTTGGGAACAGATCCTGGCAATAGGACCTTCAAATTGCCCGATCCCATGTACTACATCAGTTGAATTAAGTACGCGCTTTACTAAATCAAGTGTGTGCCAGTACGCGTTTTACTCTTACAATTTCGGTGTTAATTAAGTAAAGATTTTAGCTGTAACTTTCGGATCAGAAATTGTGTCCGGCTCCAAGCTAGCTATATAATAGAACTCATCACACAGTACTGTATAGTGAGCAAATTCCTTGTCTAAAAAATTTTTAAATACTATAATTTCCCTATTTTTAATCAAGCACAAGTAGTCTACTCGTGGGCCAAGTCAGGTTAGAGAATTTGTTTCAAACCATTAGGGTTTTGTTCAGTTCGCCGATTCGAGTTTTTAATTCGAGCTGAGATGTGATTTTATATGAGGACTTTTAACTGTAGCAAAAAAATTAGATGTGACTTTTTATGAGAGCTTTTAACTATAGTACAATTGAAATTAAAAATTCGAATCAGTAAAATCAGATCTGTATAAAAAATTTGATAATTTTACATACTTTTTCGTTTTCATGTGATTTTGACTAAATTTATTGTTCATAAACATACACTACCGTAAGGGTTACCGCCATAAAAAGACCTAAAACAAATTATGAAGAGGTATTTTAAGAGCTTATATGCTTCCTGAACAGCTTATTATGCTAGTGATCGAGAGTGAATTTCGGAAGTGATTATTGCTGTCTTTGATCATGTCCAAGAAAAAAATAAAAGAAAAAGAAAAAGAAAGAAACTTTGTCCTACACTCCTAATTACCTTGGCCATTCACGTACATGTCCAACTTTAATTTCAATTTATGAAGTCAAACTGATGATGATCAGGAATATCTAGCATTGGTTAGAACTGATCAGAACTTGTCGGAGTACTGAAAAGAAGCGACATTATAATATATGTATCATATCAAGAATGGATGTAGCTCTTTGACCCCGTATTATGTATCATATCAAGAATGGGAGTGGACATAATAACATGAAATTATTACTTTAGTTTGTCTGAAATTTCCACGTTTTTTAAAACTATTTCAGATTCGCAAGAATTATGGTAAAACTTACTGGAGATCATCAGCATGTTTATTTTTTTTCTTTGTTTTTTTTAACACATTACAATGAATGTATGATCGTTTCCTCTTCTGCTCTTCATGTTATGGTTAGGGCCATATAGACTCATGCTGTCGTTTTGTTCTCTGCTATCGTGATAACTAATCTTTTCCTGCTAGTTGGACCCGTCTAGAATCATGCAAGAGAAAGTGAAGGACAAGAGGATGGAACACGAAACAAATTAATTAAAGCAACAAATTGCATGTCCGGCAATCGGATCAGTCAGGCACGTGTAATTTTTTTTAATATGATCATTTAACATCGCTCAAATATGTGTGTAAGACTTAGTTTTTTTAATGTAATTTTTAATAAATATAGTCCAACACATAATATTAAGTTGAACGGGCATATAAGAAAAAAGTTAGGCCTACAAAAGTACACATGAAGAAAATTATATATATAATCGGACTGTAGAGAACTTAAAATTTCACCTATATATGTATATATACACTAAATTTATAAAATCAAGTGAATCTCACAGTTTTATGTTTACTATTTTATTTGATTTTCTTAGGTTTATTTTTTATTTTTTTTATTTTTATTTTTTTGCTGCGCATTATACACGATTAGTCAAACAATCCAACTGACGCTATAATTTTAAAGAGAAATTTCATCTGCCCGGCCGATAACATTATTATCACGTCGCAATTACTGATCATGTAATTACAAAGTGGAGACAAAAGAAAATAATAAAGCCGAGAGTAAAACAAAAGGAGAAGGAAAAGTTATTTAAATGTTGTGTTTTATTTCCTTAACTAAAGGTCTTTAAATAGGCCGTACCCTCAGAAAAAAAATAGGCTATACACTAACAGGAAATGCCAATAAAATAGCAACAGATACTTGACTATTAACATTTAACATGGACCCCTTTCCCCTATAGACTAGACAACAACCTGCCAGTGTAATTTTTTTTAATATGATCATTTAACATCGCTCAAACATGTGTGTAAGACTTAGTTTTTTTAATGTAATTTTTAATAAATATAATCCAACACATAATATTAAGTTGAACGGGCATATAAGAAAAAAGTTAGGCCTACAAAAGTACACATGAAGAAAATTATATATATCGGACTGTAGAGAACTTAAAATTTCACCTATATATGTATATATACACTAAATTTATAAAATCAAGTGAATCTCACAGTTTTATGTATACTATTTTATTTGATTTTCTTAGGTTTATTTTTTATTTTTTTATTTTTATTTTTTTGCTGCGCATTATACACGATTAGTCAAACAATCCAACTGACGCTATAATTTTAAAGAGAAATTTCATCTGCCCGGCCGATAACATTATTATCACGTCGCAATTACTGATCATGTAATTACAAAGTGGAGACAAAAGAAAATAATAAAGCCGAGAGTAAAACAAAAGGAGAAGGAAAAGTGATTTAAATGTTGTGTTTTATTTCCTTAACTAAAGGTCTTTAAATAGGCCGTACCCTCAGAAAAAAATAGGCTATACACTAACAGGAAATGCCAATAAAATAGCAACAGATACTTGACTATTAACATTTAACATGGACCACTTTCACCTATAGACTAGACAACAACCTGCCACTACTGAAACAATAAATAAAAAAAACTCAACAGAATGCCTAAAATTAGAATAACACACAAGTCATGAAACTAAACAATTTTGGCTAATTCAACAGATCATAGTTTGTGCAATACATTATTCACGTCGCATATTATATGCAGGCAGGTTTGAATAATTTTGGATCCAAAAATTTTTAAACGTGTTTGGTAGTTCACTCAAAAAAACAATGTGTGTTTGATACTTTTGATGAATAAAAATGTGTTTGATACTTTTGATGAATAAAAATGTGTTTGATACTAGCTAGTGGTCCACCGCATTAATCCCAGATTCCTTGAATTTAATTACCCTTCTATTTCCAACATGATTAATTTTGTTAATATTCTATTTTCCTCATACATGATTAAAAAATTAGGTTTTGTCCACTTCTTAAGCCAATCGTACGTTGTTGCAAAATTGTATTTAGTTTGTTCATCTTTTACAGAAATTAATTATCAAAATTCAAAAATTACTTGTCAAATTTTAATGTTTCTCTCAAGCTACATCATCTAAATAAATCGTTAATTAGTTGATTGCTCCCTCACAGAATATTGAGAGAAGAAAGTTGTTTATCAAAAGTCGGGCAAAGCTACATAATCTGGGGGCAAAAATAAGGATAATCAAAGAAATAAAGATTAAGTTACATATAATAGAATTGAAAAATAAGAAGAAAACATGTAATTTGAGTTTTATATGTGTGAAGTTGAAAGGACCCATAATGTTTTTTGTTTTGTTTTTTTTTTTTTTGGTATATATGAGTTATTTTTTTTTTCTTTTACTTTCGATGTGGGATTTTATTTTTATTTTTTATTTTTGGTGTTTTAAGACCAATATGAATGTAACAAAAGAAAAGTATATCTATAGAGGTAATACCGAGTATGGTGCTGACCGTGTGGTCCAATTCTTTGCAGATTTGACCTTTAAGGTCAGGATGGATTAGTGCAGAGATAGATTAGGTATTATAGAAAAAAATAGGGAAGAAAGGCCTTTAAGATCCATTTGGTAGGAAGGATGGATTGGTGCATGGATAGATTGGATATTAGAGAAAAAAATCGGGAAGGAAGGATAATATTTTCTTTGGAATAGAATAAAATGGAATGGTACGATTTGACCTATTATTAGAGATTAATATGGATCCTAATGGATCATAGTGAGTTGTTTATGATTCATGACTCGCTATAGTATTTGCACTAAGTTGATTCTTAAGAAATCTCAAATAAGATCTTGTACTTATTGCAACAAACGAAGCATGGGTTTGTTCGCTAGAAGAGATTTTTCTAAAAAATATTTTGTATGATAGGTATATATATGAAGGATCATGTTTATCTATTATTTTGTTTGGTAATAGAAAAAAAAGGATAAATGGATCTAATTTTGTTAAAAAAAATTCCAAATTCACCCACATGGAAATAAATTGATTTGCTTTAAATTTCTGTTTTTTTAAATAATAATTGATTTGCTTAAATTAAATATGCATATAGATACACGTTGTGAAAAATCACAGTGTAAATGCACCCTATCGCTAATAAATAATAAAGTAATAAATAGATCAATGTCGATCCCATGAGTATTGGGTTAATCTCAATTAAATACCAAAATTAATAATCTAAAAGATTATTGAAACAATCGAAATTAAATTAAAAATAATAAAATTAAAAATAAAACAAATAACTTAAATTATTTAGGTCTATGAGTTCTGCCGTTGCTAAAGTCCTCGTTTTTTGCAGTGTGCCTGTAGTTCATTTTTTTATCCCACTAGAGAAGTTTCTTATTTTTTTATTATCTTAAGACATTAGGAGAATTCTACACGGTCAGGATATGAAAAAATATCCTACCGATATGCTTTGTTTTAAACCGTTAGATGATTTATATCAAACTTTGATAATTTTGTGTACTTTATCATTTTAATGTGATATCGGTAGACATAAAATAAATATTTATGAAGAAGTATATTTTTAAAAAATAATATTAAAAGGTTTTGCCCAAGTCTCTTGCTATATACCCTATAAATTTTTTTCTTTGTTTCTGTCCCACTGAAACCAAACTCTGGTTGCAACACTTCTATATTTGATTGAAAAACATTTCATCACCTAAAAACACACACATAGCTTCAGACATTTCAAAAGTGTTCAAATTATTGTGAAATTATCAATATCAACATACAATTTAGTTAAATAACATAGTCCTGAAATCAACTAGAATTCATCGCATACATATAAAGATGCCCTTAAAAATATGCAATGAAGCTTATTCTACAGAAGTAATCATCGTGATGATGAAATTCATGATTAGAGTTCATCACGCGGGTATTGTTTGCCTTGTGATCCAAGAACATCAGACAAGTACGTAGTAGCTAATGAGGCATGAAGTGCAGCACCATAAGGAAATGCATCTTGGGCAATGTCGAAGTGAGCTGAGTGAACCGGTTCTTCTCCATGCGTTTCGTTCTTAATCCCAAGGAAGAAGAACAATCCCGGTAGTTCCTCTTGGTAGAAAGCAAAATCCTCCGACACCGTTACTTGCGGAGCTTCAAGAACTCTTTGGGGCCCAAGCATTTGAGTCGCTACATTCTTGAAGTGATCATATAATTTTTCGTTGTTATTAACTGCAGGGTATAAGGGTTTAACATCTTCAAAGAAATTGACGGCGGCATTGCACTTGGACACAGCGGCCTGCGCTACTATGACCTAGAACAGATATCAAACACAAGTTTTGAGTTCCTTTATTTAATGATTAGTGTGACAAACTAGAAAACAAACGAAAAGGAGGTGGAAAAAAAAAACTAGAATTAGGCTTAAAATGTTAAACTCATCCCAAACTGAGAACATAACATCAGCGCTTGATGGTATTTTAATCAGGATCCATGGAGATTAGGGAAGGCACGACTGGAAGAGAGAGAGAGAGAGAGAGAGAGAGAGAGAGAGAGAGAGAGAGGCTGCAGGAGAGGGAGGGAGAAAAGGGTAAAAAAACCCAAGGTGTATGGGTATTTTAGTCAGTGCAAAAATTTTAAATTATGCTACTGTGGCATATTTATAATAGTTTTGAGACCGCAAAAGTCAATCAACCCTAAAAATCTATGGCATATTACAAAATTATTTGAGGGTCCATTTAGTTCGTCGATTCAGGTTTTTAATTCGAGTTGAAATTTGATTTTATGTGAAAACTTTTTATGATAGTAAAAAAATTAGATGTGACTATTTTTGAGAACTTTTTACTATAACAAAACTTGAATTTTAAATTTAAATCGGTAAAATGAACAGAAGAACCTGAGTGATTTAGCTAAAAAAGAAAATTTGGGCCAATTTTAACTCCACATACAATACATCGAAAGAAACAGTCAATAAACATCAATTAATTAAGGGATAAAGAGAGAAATATGCTAAGATTTGAGATGAGTTAAAATTAATAGGCTAATAGTTTACATAAGTTAATAAATATGCCAAATTACTATTTTTATCTATAACTTGTCTGATTATAAACCATAACTTGACAAGTTATTGTCCATAATTCACGAGTTTTGTCCATAACTTATCTGGCTATGAACCATAATTTGACAAGTTTATCCATAACTTATCTGATTATGAACCATAACTTAACAAATTATGACATATTAATTTTTATAACTAAAAATTAACCTATATATTTTTTTAAACTTTTCATATTGACCTAGTTTTTATTTTTTCTGATTAATTAATTACCTCCTCAATACGCCTCCTAAGGTGCCTGATGGTCGAAAAGGCTCGGAAAGAGCCACCAATTGTAACAGTATTCGGGATGACATTAAATGCATCACTCCCTTCAAGTTTTGCAACTGTTACTACCTGCAGATTAAATAATGCCATAGTTATTAGTCCAGTACCAGCAGAAGATAATTTGGAACTATATGTAGCCTGTAGGGTAACTCGAGATTTACTAATGTATGAACATTTATATGTTTCGATAAGAAAGTCTGATGACACGAATTTGGAAGCTTTAAGATTATTAGAAATTAATTACTGTTTTTACAAAACAACCTAATTAAGACATGATTATGATTTTTGAGGTAAAAGTTAATGATTATGATTTTTTATTTCTTTTTTTCTTTCCTCCTTTTTTTCTAAGTTTTCTTCTACTTCCCACGTCTATATTCGGTTAACACGTTTCGTTTGCTATTATTCGACCCTAAAAGCAATGTGTTTGATTTTTCCCTCAAACAAATGATTAGTTTAGTAGTACTGTAGATTTTAAAAAAATTATTGTTAGCTATGCTGTAAAAAAAAAATTATTACAAAAAACAGCTGAATATTTGATAAATTATAATTATACGAGTATTGATTCTAGGGACATTATAAGTATTATAAAAGTTTTATTAATTGTACTTTAAAATGATTGTCGTACAATCTTAAAGCTAAAGTTGTTTTTGAGCTGCTTTTAATTTTAACTGTAAATTCTTCAAAAATTTTTTAAGAATAACTTTTCATAATTTTTACTAAACATAAATTTCAACTGTGGATGGTTAAAGAATTGATTTTGTACTCTAAAAATCACTACCAAATATATCCAAAGTAGTCCTATCCCCCAGAAGAAATAAATGTTCACAAATCACAAAATCTATTTTTCTTCTTGATAGAAAAACTTAAAACGAACTAGGTATCATGTGGAGAATAAGCTGCTCATTAATAGATTAGTGTAGTACTGTAAACATATTATAATATAAGGTAATTTTTATTTGATAAATCAATAGGTAGATTATTTGTCGTATTCAAACATCAAAAAGCACGAATGGAAGCTAAACATTTATGTACTTCTTTTTGGTAGAAACATTTATGTACTCATGCTTATTGTTCTTTTAAACAATACTAACTAATTATGCTTATTGTTACATGCAGTGATCTTACGGTCGTGTTTGGAATTAATCTTCTATTTATTTTTTATATTTTTTGAGAAAAAAATAAAAATATTTTTAAAATTACGTTTAGTGCAATAAAAATAAAAAATATAAGTGAAAACGATTTTATGATTTAGCGTAAAATGAGAGAAAAATAAAAAAAAGACTTTTAGTCATTTTTTATTTTTTGTTTTCATTTTCTCCACTCTCGAACAAAGTGAGAGAAAGAGAGATATTAATGGATTTTTTTACACCTTAAATAATCTCTTAATAAAACTACTAAACGCATTTTTAAAAATGATTTTTGTCTGACATTGAAAACATTTTCATTTTTATTTTCATACAAAAATTAAGATTATTTTAAAAAGAGTTCCAAACGCGCCCTACACTACCCAAAAAAAAAAAAAAACCATATAATTAATTAGTTTTTACAAATGCAAATCTCGTGAGAAATTATTTACCTGAGGGTCTCCCGGTTCAGCTTCGCGGGAGATGAGATGTTGTAAGCTAATAATGACATTAGCAGCTGCTACTACTGGATCTATACCCATATGAGGCTGAGCTGCATGACCACCTTCTCCAGTAATTACAGCCTCAAAAGTGCCACTCCCGGCCATAAAATCACCTGCTCTGGACCCCACTACGCCTACCGGTACATCCGGCGCGACATGTAGCCCAAATATGGCTTTCACTTCTTTTAGAAGTCCGGTTTTCCAGACTTCCCTAGCCCCAGCTCCTCCTTCCTCAGCCGGTTGGAATACAAGAAGAACAGTTCCCTAATAATATTAAAACAGTACATGTGTATAAATTATGCTTAGGGCTGTTAAAGCTGGTATATAATTAGCTTCTTTTTTCTCGTTGTCTTACTATAGCTAGTTTTTGTTCGAAAGAAAGTCAAATAACTAGCTAGAAGAAAACAAGTGGTAAATAGAAATTAACAAATTATTACTTGCAACTCTTTTTCATGTTCTTTGAGGATCTTGGAGGCACCGAGAAGCATTGCTGTGTGTGCATCATGTCCACAAGCATGCATCTTTCCATCGATTTTGCTCTTGTGCTCCCACTCCACCATTTCCTAAAGCATACATAATTAGTGCAACTTAATTCAATATTGTCTTTTAATTAACACAACAATTATATTTTAAGGTAATGGTTATTACTTAAAAAAGATCACAGAGTCTGCAGAGTAGGACTAAAACAGATATTGCAAAAACATACATGGATTGGCAGTCCGTCCATATCTGCTCTTAGCGCAACAAAAGGCTCTTCCATAGTCCCGACATAGCCGATGACACCGGTTTTCGCTACCGAGCTTTTGTAGGGAATTTTCAGATTATCCAACTCCTGTCTGACCCGCTCACTGGTCTCAAATACATCGTAAAGCAATTCTGGACATTCATGAAGGTCATTCCTGATTCCCACCATCCAATCAAACACCTCTGGTTTATTGGCATGCTCGAGGAAATTTGAGGACGTTATAGAGAGGTCTGAGAGTACGAGTGTTGGTACAAACACGCAAAGGACTAGAAGGAAGGAGGTAAAACACTTGGCGAACGCCATATTTTTCTACTGATGATGGGGTTGAGGTTGGTGTTTTTGGCAACAGGTGTTATAGATGGGGAATAAATATGCCTCATTGACCGACCAGAATTGAAACACGTTTCCAATTTAAAAGTGTGATATTATTATACGTATTACTATTGTCTCTAACTGCCAATAGAAACAATAGTATTATTATATTATATTGTTTTTAAGTGTGATATTATTATATGCATTTTCGTCAGAAAAGCCAAGATACTATTAAGATAATTTTGTATGATACTTAAAGTTTGAAAGTGGTACACACTGGTGGTCCAGAAAACCGATTTTGTTATCGACCCCACCAATAATTGTAGGTGAAGATGGTTCTAAGAGCGCTTATGAAGTCGATTCTGCGTAAGTCGAGAGGTATGCGAGATTTGTTCTGGGATTTATTATTTATAATTCAAATATACGAAATTTAAACAATGAAATCATCCTAATAGATTGTAATCTTCATTTTTTAGGAAACTCTCTTAAAAGATGAGAGAAATATCCCTGAATTAAATAGAAAAACCAGTAGGGACGATGATCAATGATATAAATAAGAGATTGTAGGTAAAAGGATTCTGAAGTGTGATTAAGAGCAATTAGAGTGTAATTCTCTCTGAAAAGTAGTGAACTCTCTCCTCCCCACAATAGATGTAGCTCTTGAATCAATGACGACCACTATAATTCTTGTCTGTTCTTACTTTTTAATTACTTTTTTAACCGTGATTTTGATCTAAAAACTCGCACAGATTATTTTAAAACTTGTTATATTTCTGTTGACGAATTTTACCGTCCACGTATATAATAAACCCGCTTTTGTTGTCCACATATAACTGGGCTGTTTATCTCGTGTGAAAACATTGAGAGGGTTCAAATAAAAATCTTGAAGATCAGTCTTTATCAAAGCTCGCACCTCGCAATTACCAACGCAGCTTGTTATACCCGTGATCGACCTCGGGTTTCTGTTATAACCCTTGGGTAGAACTCATCCCCAAAAGCTAGCTTGTAGAGAGATGGTGTCCAAATGGTTATAAACTCACATGCTAAGCCCATACTTTAGCAATGTGAGACTCAACCATGATCCTAACATACCACCACGCTTCCGACACCGACGTCCACGGCGGCCCACTCTGGATGGCCCACTCTGGCCTTTCCAGGTCGCCCGTCCCCAGGTCACCCCTTCCGCAACGTGGGCCTGAGGAGGAGCATGCTCTGATGCCAATTGTTATAACCATTGGGTAGAACTCATCCCCAAAAGCTAGCTTGTAAGGAGAGGGTGCCCAAATAGTTATAAGGAAAATAGTAGAAAATAAGCCAATATGAAAAGTTTAAGAAAGTATATAAGCCAATTTTTAGTTATAGAAATTAATAGGTCATAACTTGTCAAGTTATGATTCATAACCAGATAAGTTATGGACAAACTTGTCAAGTTATGGTTCATAACCAGACAAGTTATGGACAATAACTTGTCAAGTTATGGTTCATAACTAGACAAGTTATGGACGAAAACAATAATTTAACCTATTTATTAACTTATGTAAACTATTAGCCTATTAATTTTAATTCATCTCAAGTCTTGGCCTATTTCTCTCTTTCTAACTAAATCCACATATTAGATTTATATTTTAACAATGTGGGACTCAACTAGAATCTTAACAGTTTCCGCAGCATGATAATTGTTATCGCTCATGTGGCCAAATTTCCAAAATGATCATTGCTGGACCATTCACGTGTCGGCCAACTTTTCCCTCGAAGTCAAATTGATGAGGAATATCTATTGGATTCAACCAAAGATTAGTACTTTACTGAAGATAAACGACATTATACATGCATCAATGATGGGTGTACCGCTTCGATGCCGTGTACAACTTTCCTATTTCTGCCTGTAGCCGAAATGTGCTCTCTCTGGGAAAATAATATCCATTTTTAGTTCTCTGAAATTTCCACGTTTTAAATAACCATTTCAGAGTCGCAATAATTATGGTAAAGAAACTATATATGTTGAGGATGTTTTTTATTTTTATTTTTGTAAAACTTATTGCCTATGAATGATTCGCTAATTCCTCTTAATGAATGTTAGGGTTAGCTAACAAACAGATTCTATGCGCTGTACGTCTTGTTTCTTTCTTTGCTATCCTGATATATTTAAAAAAATATATATATATATATATATTTTAAAAAAAATCTGCTACTTGGACATTTGCTATTTGGAATCATATACGAGAAATTGCAAAGGACAAGAAGATTGGAACACAAAACAAATTAATTAAAGCAACACATATTGCATTTTATTAAATTTAAGGGAAAATGTATATATGTCACAGTTTTATAATCTGTATTAATATTTTATTTGATTTTGATAGGTCTTTTTTTCTTTTATTTTTTGTGCATTATACAACGATAGCTAATAGAGAATCAGTCCGCGACAATCCGAACGACGATTATAAATTTTATTATTGAAAGAGAAATTTCATCTGCCCACCTGGCCGGCCGATAACATTATTATCATATTCTATTCACGTGGTATATTAATGCCCGCGTGTCCGAAATCGAATAGTTGAGGATCCAAAATTACGTAAACATGTTTGATACCAGCTAGTGGTCCACCATGCACGTTTACGTTGATTCGTACCCTTCCATTTCCATTATAAGATTAGTTTCTGTCCACTTCTCATCATGCCAATATATCGTATGTTAACTGCTCATTGTATTTTTTCTGTTTATCTTGTAAATAAATTATTGAATTCAAATTATCTGTCAAATTATTGCAATTCGTGTCTAAGTCATGATATAATCAAACTTAACATTATTTCAGAAATTGTGCCTCTTAGTTTTACAAATTTATTGCTTACATTCAAAGTGTATTAAATTATGTGATTGATTAAATTGGTTGAGCGTCACTTTGGAATAAAATAATTTCATGCGCCCACTTTAAGTTTTGTTTCATTCAACTCGTACTCAGCAGCTGCCTTGCTTCCCTTTCACACCTTCAGCAGCTGTGCTTCAGTACTAGCTAGGGATGGCAAAAATCCACAGCGTGAAAAAAAAAAAAAAAAATCCCTATCCCCCGTCTCATTAACCCGCTTAAGTTTTCAGTGCGAGACGGGTTATATCCCGACAGATTTGGGGTACTCACAATTAGTACCCCCAATATTTAGGTAGCTAGAAATTAATACATATTGGAAATTAAAGTAATCACGACATTGATCATAATCAATCCAAAATACAATGAATTAAAACATTTTTAGACTTCAAATAACATAAGACAAACATAGAATCCATGATCTTAATAAAAAGTGCCTAAAATGCATATAATCTAAAAGACATAAATCGGCATCATCACTAGTTCTTTTTCAAATATCTACTATTATAGATGATTTCTTCAAAGAAAGAGAAAAAAAAAAAATAAAGGAAACTTGTTGACTACCAATTTTATAAGCAATAACATATGGTAATGAGAAATATTAGAAATACTAAGTACCTCAACTTTAACATCTCTATAGTCATAATAGTATACATAAACTACGACTGGGAGAAAAACCAAGTAAGTGTATTCAAAACTTAACTGAATACTATGAGAAAGATACACGAAACAAGTCAGTCACATCAGCACACGACATCAATTTAGTTTTTAATTAAAACTGTCAATGTCGTGTGCTGATGTGATTGACTTGTTTCGCGTATCTTTCTCATAGTATTCGGTTAAGTTTTGAATACCCTTACTTGGTTTTTCTCCCAGTCATATGATTGTGTTTATGTATACTATTAGTACTAGTGCTGAAACTTTGGACGGGTCGCCTGCGATCACTGAAAAGTCTAAATTTTTGCCCGAGTACCGAACCCAAACTGTCCAAAAATTCAGGTTGCCCGACCCGACTCAAATTTCACAATGAACGGGCTTCGGACAGGAGGTGGCTGCCCGACCGGCTGCTCGAATTTTTAAACTTTTTTTTATATTATATTTTTATATTGTATAATTATAATGTGTACAATTTAAAATTTGAAATGAGCACACGACCTATATAAAAAAAATTATTTCTTAATTGATTTTTAAATTTGTAATTCATGATTGCCTCGTTAAAAACCTTACCAAGAAAAACCCAATTGGGATTAAAACTTGGTAAGAAAAAAATAGTGCAATCATTGTGGGATGAATTATAAATTTGACGAACTTACAAAGTCTATATAAGATTATAATAACACTATACAAATTAGAAATTACAAAGTAAATAAATATTTACAAATTACAATAATAAAATTTAATTTGAAACAGATTAAAAATTAATCTATTAACCTCGTCGATCCATTCTTGGCTTGCCAGTGAGATTGTATCGTGTAAGCGTTGGTCGGAACGATCCCAATCCTTGATGCACACCAAAGCTTCAACAATATCCTGTTGCAATTCATTTCTCCGTTCTTCAAGTATTCGGCCGGTTGTACTGAATGCTTGTTCGGCTGCAACAGTGGAGACCGGGATTGAAAAAATATCCATTGCCAGTCGTGTTAGGATCAGCCAAGTTAATGCTCGTGCCCTCCACCACTAAACGAAATCAAACATTTCACTATTGTGTACAACTAAGCCCTCACTCAGGTACGCCATTAACTCGTTGAATCCGCCGTTGTTGCTGCCACCTCTTGACGAAGATCCACTCCCAGATTCTTCTTGACCTCGAGTCGTCGTCGTCTTCTTCTTCTTCTTAGACAACCCGAAAACATTCAAGAATGAATGTGGATTGTCGTCTCGTTGTTG